AGGCATATGAGTTGAACATTTATCTGAGGTAGATACACTCCTTGGAGAGAACAATCATGGGAAAGAGAAGGGCTGCTTATGCACAGGGAGACAGCTCAGAGGGCAGAAGTGCATGGAGAGATGGACACAGGAAAGAGGTAACTATTGGGAGGAAGCAGGAGGGGAGCTGTTGCATTATGTTAAATTGTAGTCAATGTCATGAGACAAAGTGTATGTGAACTGCTGTATGGAAAGTGTATTTGCTCTGTAAATTTTCACCCAAATCTCAATAAAAAAATTTTTGTTAATTAAAAAAAAAGGTCACTCTCCCATCATTTCAGAAGGAAGGTTGGGCAATCTACTTCCATAGTGATACTGCCCCAGAAACCCAAGGAAGGGTGGCTATGAGTCGGATACGACTCAACGGCAGTGAGTTTGGTTTTATTGGTTTGCTCCCATCATTGGCCCAGGGAACTTTCTTGACAATCTTGGAAAGCTGTTACTTTCCAATAGACTTGCAGAAACTAGGATATTAGACAATGGGCTCCAGTGCCTAAAAATCAAGGCAAAAACCCTGCTTAGGTCAGTTCTTGCCCATCCATCTCACAGAACATGCCAGATGAGATGAGTAAGACAATGTGAAATGCTTCCTGGAAACTCAGGTCACAAATTGGGGGAACACCAGCCAGCCACCTTCCACCTGACTTCACTTGGCTCCGACAGTCATGACATGTAAATCAGAAGAAGGTGACTTTGTGTTAGACTTCAGAGAAGTTAATAAATGCATTACCTGCCTATGTAAACCATTTTCATGCTAAGATTGTCTACACACACAAACATTAGCTGTTCGGGGGGCTGGGGTGGCAAAAGTTGAATTCAATTCAACAATTTCTGAGCCAACTGGTTGGCAACAGTGGGGTCACCACTAGTTGTTAAACCTTTTCCTTTGGGTGCAGAGTCCTAGAGTCGCAGCTGAATACTACCTCGTTAGTACCGGCCGAGCATTTGGGTTGAAGCAGCCACCACTGTCATGTGGGAGTCTGGAGAAGGGTCGCTCTGGGACCACGTGGTCACTGCTAACCTTAGGATCGGCATGACTGAAATGTCTCATGGTGGCCACCACTCTTCTTGAGCGTGGAGCAGTGAGCAAGCAGATGGACGCCATGCTGCCCACTGGGCTGAGTGTCATTCCCGGGGAACCTCTGTGAGCCTGGACGCCCTACGGAGCGTCTCAGAAAGAAAGGCCAGAGCAGGGCCCACGGTCATCCTTTGGTGATGCATGGCGACAGGTCAACATCTGCCCATGAGGAACGGGGGGCAGGCTTCAGAGCCCCTGTGAGGCAGGGAACTGGGGCCACTGGTCCGCCAGGTGGGAGGCAGCTGGTCCTGCCTGCCCCGGAGCCCCAGCCTGCCCTCCCTTCTTCCCACCAGCCATCTCCGACCTCATTCTCCACTCTCTGCAGGAGAGCCCTCCTTCACTCTAGATGGGCAGGATGTTCTGACCGTGGGAGTCACCTGTGAGGCCCAAGGACCGGATGGCGCGTCTGCTGAGGATCTTGTTCAGAATGTCCTTGCAGCTTTTGCGGTATTGGTGACGCAGCAATGAGTACACGAAAGGGTCGGAGGCAGCCTTGCTGTAGGCCAAGCACTTGGACAGCACTCCCCAGTGGGGGCCGATGGTCACCGTGGAGGAGAGCTCCACCAGCCTGTGGAGAGAGGGGAGCCATTACCGAGAGCTTGGCTGACGTGGACTGGGCAGCCTGGGGCCAGAGCTCCAGTCTGCGCCCCCGGCCCCAAGCCCCTGGCCAATCCTCAGTCTCCTGAGTCTGCCCCCTTTAGTAACAATGCCAAAAATGATGGTGGACACTCATCCCAGACCCACTGCCATGAGGTCTGCTCTAGTGCATAGCGACCCTAGAGGGCAGAGTAGAACTGCCCCCGAAAGTTCCCAACACTGTAATCTTCATGTTTCTCCTGTGGAGCAGCTGGGAAGTTCAAACTGCTGGCCTTTTGGTTGGTGGCTGAGCACTTTAACCACTGTGCCACAGGGCTCCTGAACACTCACCAGCTCTCACTTTTCTCTAGGCACTGCACCAAGCACATCATTACACATATGCTTTTGTTAAACCCTGAGAGATAATGCTTGATTATCTCCATTAAAAAAACCAAAAGTTGCCGTCCAGTCAATTCTGACCCACGGCGGCCCTGTGTGTTACCGAGTGACACCACTGCGCTGGGTTTCTTGGCTGTGATCTTTGCAGAAGCAGATCAGCTGGCCTGTTTGCTGCAGTGCTCCTGGGTGGGTTTGGACCTCCAGCTTTTAGGTTGGTAACCTGCTGTCACCAAGTCGATTCTAACTCACAGTGACCCTATGGGACAGAGTAAGGCTGCCCCATAGGGTTTCCAAAGCTGTCATCTTTATGGAAGAAGACTGCCTCATCTTTCTCCTGTGGAGCAGCTGGTGGGTTTGAACCATTGCCCTTTTGCTTAGCAGCCAAATACCTTAACCACTGCACCAAAGTCAAGTGCAAACCATCTGCTCCAGCCAGGAAGGATCTCTTTCCATGTTACATATGAGGAAATAGATGTCTCAGGAGGTTAAATAGTATTACCATTAAAAAAAAAAAAAACATGATTTGAACAGGCATGATTTGAACCCAGGTCTGTCTGACTCTAGAACCCATGCTTATCTGAGAAATGAGCTTCTACCAGTAGTGTCCTGGCTGTTGGTCCCATCTCTGCTGCTGACCTGCTCTGTTGCCCTGAGCAAGTCTTTTTGCTTCCCTGGACGTGTGTGTCGCCATATGAAAGGCGAGGCGGTTGACTAAGGGCAGCGCCAGGTAATTTCAGCTGTAAGGGTCTGATTCTTTGCTTCATGTTTGGGCTCTGTAACCCGAGGAGGAAGAGCTGAGACTGTTTTTGCAAACATCCTGCAAAGCCCCACATGTGTCCTGGCCCAGGAAAGTCTGTGCAATGTGAAAGGATGTGCTGTGGGGAAGGGTCTTCCCAGGTCTGGCGTTCTGGTGGTCTTTGGCAATAGCAGCGGTCTGAGTGACCTGAGTGACTCTTACTCTTTGAGGGGAGACTGAAGGGTAGATACAGTTCCTCTGTCAAAGGCCATGGTTCTGTGAATCTTCTTGTACCCATCCAACAGCTCTAGTCAGTGGTGCTCCCGCCAGACTAGGGGCTTAATAAAAGTTGTGTAAATGAAATCCCCTGGGAAGAGCACCAAAACGTGCCCCCACATCAAGCCATTTGTTCTCCTCTCTGAAATCTGTCCAGCCCCATCGGCCACATGCAAACCTCACCCAGCTTTAATGGAAGGTAGAAAAGACCCACAGAGCGAGGAGGGCTTAGTGATCATAAACCACCCATCGTCGGAAGAGGAAATCGAGGCACAGACACGGGACAGGATTGCCCATGTCCCACAGCAAGTCAGCGGCCGAGGTAGGTCAGGCACCTGTACCCTACCTGGGAGCCTGGCACCTGAACCCAGGGGAGGGGGGTCCAGCATCTGTACTCTCTCCCTTGGGGTCTGCAGCGGCTCTTAGCTCGGTGAGCTGTGCAGGTGACGACACAGGGGCAGAAGGAACTGCCTTCGGCTTTAACTCTGCGGTCTCTTTACTGCTTCTCCTGAATTCTTGGGGCTGGGGTCGTGAGGGCAGCTGCAGAGCCCGCTCAAGGGAAGGCGGAGGGAGCTGGTGGTGGAAGAGGAGGTGTGAGGCTCGCCACTGAAATGCCCCTTTTCTCGGACAGATCCTTAGTGAGTCCACCCTGGTGTCCCATGTCAGCCCTGGAGTCTGGCCTGCCCTCTGAGCCTGTGGGGGAGATGTGGCCGCGTGCCCTCTTGCAAAGCAAAGGGAAAATTGAGTCGTGAACATTTGGGACTGCTGTACTTTTAAGATCTCTATTTTGAGGAGTGATGAATTTAACTAAAGAAAAAACCCAAAAAACCCTGAGTTTATAGTTCACACCTAAAACAATAGCAACGAAATAGCTGAATGCTGACACTTTGCTGCTATGAATTGCCTCATTCTTTTCCAAATGCCTAGTCTTCTGTACATTGCTAAATTCAGTCCTAGCATTTTAGCTCTCAAAAGAGAATTTATTAAAAGAACAAAACAGCATACAAAACCTTCCAGCAGAATCATTATGTGCAGGTTCTAGAGATTTCAGAAACTAAGATCATTCAGGACAGTTTCAAAATTCCTCACGTAGATAACTAAGAGGTCAAATCTATCGCATGTGCTTTTCAGAGATCTGGGGTAAAGTCTGCGTTCTCCACCTGGCTCGGTCTGCTGGTTGCCAGGCGAGCGTCCCCTTCAGGCCAGGACTGAGGTGCCAATCTCTGACCTCAGTTATCCTGCTGGAGAGGTGTGAGTGTGACTGTTCCCACTACGTTGCTGGTGCTGCTGTCCAGTCAGCCCGGCTCACAGTGCGATCAGGCCGTTGTGACCCAGAGGTTTTCAGCATCTCATTTCTCAGGAGTGGATTGCCAGCCCTTTCTCCCCAGTCTGTCTTTGGCTGGGCTGAAACCTGTTTAGTGTGATGGTAACACACAAGAATCCAGGGACAGATGGGTGGTTGGCTGCACACGAGGTAGATGGCCGGAAATCGAACCCGGGTCATACCAGTGATGAAACCAAGGCTCAGAGAGGTTGAGCAACAAGCCAGGATCTCCCACCTGGGAAATGCTGCTTCCCTCAAATCAGCAAGGCAGGCTGGAGTCCTTCCAGACCCGAGGACCCTGTCCCATGAGGTCGCTGTGTGCTACCCAGGCCTCTTCTCGCCTACCCTTGCCTGCAGTGCATACATCAAGGTCTGCTTTGAGAAGCCAGTCTCTGGCCTTCACCATGGTTTCCAGGCCAGAGGGTGCTTCGGGGGCTCAGGCCTGAACACTGGTCCTGTGTGGCTGCCAGGCCAGGCCAGAGCGGGGGGCCCCCTTCCGTGCTCAGACACAGCTAGCCGCCTTGTTCTTTGCTTTCCCCGCGTACAGGACCCTGGTTCTGTGGGCTGTGGGCTGTGCTCCAGCCCAGCTCTGACAGTGCCAGGGGCCGTCTGCTCCTGGGCTCTGAGAAGGGGCAGGGATCCCCACATTGCCCCAGTGGCCCTTTCCTCACTCCAGATCTGCAGGGTGTTTGGATGCCTGACTGCAGGGGCCCCCCAGATGATCCTTCCAGAGAGGCCCATCTTCTCACGCAAGGCCAAGGTCTACTCACCCCCACCCCAGGGGAAAGGCTTGCCAATGTCCCTCAGTCACCCGCACTGCTGGCAGGACCACCCTCTGCTCCTCTCCACTCATCACAGGTGGGCTCTAGAGGGGCTAACTCCCCCGCCCGCCCCTCTCCCCAGCAGTCAAGGTTAAGTAAGATGCAAGCCTCCCAACAGCCTAAGGCATTTGATTGCTAACCAGAAGGCTGGCGGTTCAAACCCACCAGCCACTCCTCGAAAGGAAGATTAGGCAATCTACTTCCATAGAGATACTGCCTCGGAAACCCAAGGAGGGTTGCTATGGGTTGGATCCGACTCGATGGCAATGAGTTTGGTTTTGTTTGGGGCTCAGGTGTAAATAAAGAGGGGTTTTGTTTCCTCTTGTGTTGTCCCCTTAGGGGCCTCAAGGGGGTGCAGGGGTAGTTGTCAGGCAGGAGTGGGCTGGCCCAGGGTCCCTGGCCCTAACAGCATCAGAATAGCATCAAGTCCCCACCCCATTCCTAGGGGCCTACGTGCACATTCTCCCTGGGGGTGCTCCAAGCATTAGCAGGTGGAAGAGCAAGGCATTGCCCCTCCCACGCCCAGGAAGCAAGGCTGCTTCCCACAAGCCCTTCCAGCCCCTTCTCTCAGCACCAGGTGACTGCATCTTCTCCCTGGGTCCAACCAGGAGCCATGGCCCGTCAGTAGGCTGCATCTAAGGGGCCACGGTTCAGCTCTGTGCTCAGATGGACACCGCCCAAAGGAGCAGCCCAAGCCCAGCTCCCCTGCGACCCTGGGGAAAAGAGTCCACACCCTGCCTGGGCCTGAGACTCCCCCGGCCCCTGCCTCACCCACAGCCTCCAATCAGTTGGGGGTGGGTGGGTGGCAGGAGGGCATTTCAGACACCCTGAGCCCCTGGGGGAGTCCGAGCAGATCCTGGGCTAAGGTGGGGTGTCTGAAATGCTCAGGAGACGGCACCCTGCTCATGAATTGGAACCTGGGAGAGTAGGTGTGCGTTTCTCTGACTGTCACACCAGCGAGTTGATTTTCCCATCCCCACTGCTCCTGTGGAGTCCCTGGGTAGAGTCCCTGGCTGCTAACCAGGAGGTTGGAAGATCGGGTCCGTCCAGAGGCCTGGTGATCTACTTCCGAAAAATCAGCCATTGGAAACCCTATGGATCACGGTTGCTCTCCAGCGCAAGTGGTCACCGTGAGTCTGAACTGGCTGGGTGGCAACAAGTTTGCTCTTCCTACAGGCCTGCCCCCACCTCTGTGCCCCTTGTCTCTAAGGCAGGAGGCATCGCCATGGAGCCCCTTCTCTCTGCAGGGAGCCCCAGTGATCCGGGGCTCTCCAAGCTGGCGATCACAGCTAGGGGGTTGCATGGAGACAGAGCCTCCCCTCAGTGCCCGCCCCCGCAAGACCCTCTCATCCCACTACAGCCTGAGCAGTCCTGGCCCCTGTGGGGAGGATGGGCACGTTTGCCAGAACACTGGCACACTGCCTGAGCCCTGGCCA